GATACCATTATTGGTTAATTGATTTAGAATAAGTGCCACCTATACTGCAAGAGATAATTTTACATAAATTAAATTTTTGTCATTAATTAAATTTTGATAATATTAGTGCTTCATATATTGCATGAAAAAACATACCATACGTTACCAATTAGAAGCACCACCAAATAAAAAACAACCTTCCAAATTTTGGAACCAAAAATTTGACTAAGGTTGTTATATTCTACTAATGAAATTGAAAGCAACCGGTTGCTTCTATTCAGTGACATATGATATATGAAATCTAATTTACTAAGACTTAAAGTAACATTTTATGAGAAAATTAACAAAATTTTACATATAATATCATCAGGAAAGTAAAGCTCATTTTAATTGAATTCTAAAATTAAAATTTATTTTTATTAAAAAAAAATAAAAAATAATACATCTTAACTATATAAGTTTCACTAATAAATCCTACTACAGGCTATAGTTCAAGCTTTTCCCAGATCCTAATTTGTGCAATCATTGTTAAATGATAGTGAAGTCTTAATTTGTGGGCACGGCTATCATCATAACTGTTATTCAATGCTGGAGTATTGCATTTATTATAATATTGAAAGTTTCATAAAGCGATTGGAAAAGGGACCTAATACTCTTACCAAAGAAGAAAACCAAGAAAAAGCTACAGAGGAACCTGAGCAGGAGGACGATTCGGTGGAGAAAGTGAAAAAGGAGAAACCCGACGCTTTTTTACTAGCACTCAATGCTGTTAATGATTAGTAAATGTAAAAAAAAACAAAAAGTTAATATTATGAAAACTTGGTAAAACATTCGATCCCATTCGATCCCAAGTTTTCAAACAAAATAAAAAATACTTAAGAACCCGTAGCTAAATAACGATAATTAAAGTCTAACGTGTTACGATCATTATCATATAAGCGAAATTGCTCAAAAATTGCATTTTTTGTAAATTTGTCATAATTTGATTGGCTATTGTTGAGTGATCGATAATTGTCATATGAACAATCAAAATGGATTTCCCTCTTGCTACCCGCATCACATGATCAAATAAGTAAACAAACGTGGATCATCTGATATTTGTTTACATTTTTTGGCCAATCAAAA